AAATCCCGAGAATTTAGAAGGAAAGAAGGCGAATGTGTAATATGCGTAACATATGAACTATCAAATGATTTGAACTATCGAACAAACAAATGAAACGAATCGAGGGTCCGACGTTGGATGATTTATAACCGAATAACACACAAATGCACACACCGTAATGAGGTAAACCTCATTAAAGTGTGTGCATTTTTGTATTATTCTCATCAAAACTAGTATGATGATGAGTTGCAATGTTTTCAGCAATCGATAAGTGCATCTTGCAGGTGTACCTCATTAAGGTGTGTATAGACGCATACACATGGACAGTTGAACGACGTTATCGCGAATTTGAGGCGTTCGATTTGAAGCGATTCGAGGATCGCAAAAAGTCGTTCTTACCACCGAAGAAACTTGTTGGCAACATGGTACACAAATTCAATCATTTTCTCAATAACATACAAATAGGTGTAAATCGCTTATTTGTTCGACCAAAGTCGGCGACCACAACACTGAACATTGCCTAACCAACATTCATTTCTGACGAAAAGATGTCATTTCTGATTGCATACATTCAACTTCTGCCGTATTTTAATCATTACAAAATTTCAAGTGTTCCTCAAAAACCTCACGACGCATATTGTCAGGTGGATAATATTGTTGTTTATCTGTTTTGAGGATCCCGAATTTCTGAATGAAAGACGTATTGAATTGGAAAAGTATATTCGAGCCGTAGTCGAACTAGATCTGTGGCTCCAGAAAAAGAGGAAGCGCTATTCTCTGCCAATGCTCATTGCACGTTTCCTCGATTTTCACGAATACGTAAGTTGATTTGAGGTCACGTCTCAGCACACTTAACAAAGCCATATCTTACGTGTAAATCAGTCATGAAGCATCATTCAGTGCAATGCAGAATTGCGTCATTTAATGTCATCTGATGCGATACATTAACGCGAGATAGGACTTTACTGTCGCATCTGAAGAGACGTCGTCAATTTGATGTTGTTGGATGAGATACAACCATTTCATCATGTAAAATTGTTCGACTTAGGAGTTGTGAAACTTAGAGGGTCTCAGGGACCAAGTATGATCCTAAGTGCGTATTCAAGAGATCAGAAAATATCTGTCTACTTTTGTTAACATAACATGTGGCGGCCAGTTTGATGTGGGATTTTCATGCGTTGATAATGATTCATGAAGCATCAGGCATTTTTAACAACCGTTTGAATTAAGCTTTATTAGTACATCGACAAAAGCTGGATAATCACAATCAAAAGCAGTAATTCAATAGATAAACTGAACGTTTCATACACAAAACACATTCGTATCAATATAATACAAAAATGAATCGATCAAATGTTTATAAACTCTCTCAAATTTCTAAGTATTCAACCGATGGAAAACATTTCAAACGCCAAAAATCTCCATAGACTATCAATTTCTTTTCTGCAA